TGGCTGCGGGCCACTGCTCGAGCACCAGTAGTACCAGTTCAGCAGTAAACTGCGCACAGCAGTAGTCGCTTACTCGCCGCTTGCAGCAGGGTGGGACTGTAGGACTAGACCAATTGGACAAGAGCGTCCTGCATTTCTGCCAAAAGATGACGTCACCAAAACGCCCTTCGGTGGATTTCGGGTTGATACTGCCAGTAAATACTGGGAAGTACTGGATATTCCAGTATTGAAAGCTGTACTAAAGCGTGCAGTACAGTACAGTACCGAGAGCCGTACTGCCAGTACAGTATATTCCAGTATCGAGAGCTGTACTGGAGAGTGCAGTATTTTTATTCCAGTATTGAAAGCTGTACTAAAGCGTCCAGTACAGTACAGTACCGAGAGCCGTGCTGCCAGTACAGTATATTCCAGTATCGAGAGCTGTACTGGAGAGTGCAGTATTTTTATTCCAGTATCGAAAGCTGTACTAAAGCGTGCAGTATTTTTATTCCAGTATCGAAAGCTGTACTAAAGCGTGCAGTACAGTATATTATGGCCAAAGGTACTGCAATACTGAAAATACTGGCAGTATTGTACTGTACTAAACCTGCCCGTGGTTAGATTGCACGTAATCTTGCTGCTGACCAGACCACCACAGCAGTCTACTCTGTGTAGATTGCACGTAATCTTGCTGCTGACCAGACCACCACAGCAGTCTACTCTGTTTGTAGCGAAGGGGTTTCGAGGTTTGCTGAAGGTTTGCGTCTCCTTGCATTGGTTAACTCCCGTGACCTGCCGTGCTATCTAGTTATCCTCCCTGATTTGTTGTTTGGTGCCGTTGTCGCTGATCGCCGACACAGCTCATAGCTTATAGTGTCACAGCTGGCCCAAGGTTCTGATACGCTCTAGGCACATAAGCCGGCATCCCCTGTATCACCCTGCGGTGCCCCTCCACTAGTCTCGGTAACAAATGAAAAGCGAATCTCTGCTGTATCCCCCAAAACAGGCGACGCAGCCGGAAAAGTAACCATTTCCGACAGCAACCTCAGCGGCAAGATTCAGCGCCAGGCGTACTCCGGGCCGATCCTGGCGCTCGCGCTCGCCCCCGACGGGGTCCCCCCCGGTTCCGCGACATCCCGAGCTGCGGCTCCCCTTCCGTCAAGCCTTCCCCCTTCGTCCGGAACCAACAGTAGTGCAGCCACAAGCAACAACACCAGCAGGAAATACGGCGTGGTCGTTACGCTTGGGGACGACTCCGTGAACCCTGCCCCGCAGTCGGAGGCCGGGGGGGGAGGAGGGGTGGGGGCAGGAAACGGTCGGTCACCCTACGTGCTAAAGTTTTGGGCGGGTGCGGACATGGGGTTGTGCGTCCGCGCGGTGGACGTTGCGGCGCAAATGCCGGACGGGCAGCATCAGAGATGGGCTTCCTCCGGAGGCGGGGCGGGGGGGGCGCGGGCAAGACTCCCTCGGTTGACGGCGTTCGCGATCACGCCCGATGCATCTCAGGCAAGCCAGGAGAGCACCCACGTTTTGGTTTTGTGCTTGTTTTGTTCGCTCGTGGGGGGGGGATATGCTCGTTGTCAACGTCGATGTTATCCGTGTCGCCCATCACCGTTCCTTCGTTTATGTTGGGTAAGGGGTAAGGGGGTTGTCGGATTGCAGTCATGTTTTGTTTTTTTTTGTTTTTGTGCGTTCTGGAGATGCATTCGCCAAAATGCAAACGCCTCGTCAACCCTCACCGAATGAGAAGCCAAATGGCGAAGCCTCGAATGCTTGCAAGTCAAGTTGCATGCATAGCTGGGACATATGGTACGTATGTATGTGTCTCAAACCCAAGAGCTCGAACGCCGGTTCCGACATCAATGCTGCCCGCTATGGGTTAAGGAAGAAGAGGCAACGTCCACCGCGCAGGATACGACGTGAGCCAATATTCGGCCCCAAATGTATCTCCTCTTTCGTTCTCTCTCTTCTTGCTTTCGGTTTCTTTCTCACCCCCCCCAAACTGCGTCTGTGAAACACGGAGTAGTGAAGCTCCTCTTGGGAAAGTGGGCTCCGTCCCACTGTTGGATGTTCACCAATATCTCTAGCAACCACACCCGAGCGCACATGACGGACGATTTAGAATTCCAGCGATCCCAGCTTGTATCGCACCGCTTCTTTCAAGTTTGACGGTACCTTGTTAGTTCCATGACACTCCTCCATATATATGTGTGTGCGACCCTCGAACATCAGCTCTAGGTCCATCTGCGTCAATTTTGATTGAAAGATGGCCAGAAGGGGGAGGCAAACATCGCAGCGTGAGGTAATCCCCCCCTGCTCGTCCTCATGCCGTTCAATTCACCCTGGTAAGGTGGCGTGCGGGTTTTCAGACGGAATGGCGTTGCTCCTGCAGGGGGACCTGGTGCGCAGCCCGGTCTTGCCGCCGCCGCCGCCGCTGCTGATTCAGCCGGGTGAGGAGAACCCTTCTGCTGTCACGGCGCTGCACTTCTCGAAGGGACAGCAACGCGGTCGGGGTGGCGGCAGCGGCAGCTCGAGTCCACCTCAGGTGCGATAATGTCGATATGTATGACTTACCGTACGATATTCTTGTGCCCTTCTTTTTTTAATAGAACACACACTCTAGTCTTTCGTTAGTGCAGTACCTCGCGCTTGTGTTCGTTTTTAGAAAATATTCACAGTCTACACAATGATCAAAAGGCTCTCCGTGCGAGATGTATCCACAGTCGATGGGGATGTGTTTGAAGTCTTGGTGTTTTGTCACGGTCAACTGAACCGGTACGGATGCTAGAAGGTATTGAGCAGAGACCGGAACCTTTTTTCGCGTGAAGACAACAACAAGCAACAACAACAACAAGCAGCAACAAGACATCCACATTCCCTCCCGATTTTCCTGTCCCATTACAGCCCAAGCTCATCGTCGGCTACGACCTGAACAAGGACGGAAGCAACGGCATGCCTCCCCCGGACTTTCCCTCGCTGGGCCTGCTATCCTACGACACCCGGACAGACGCGGAGCCCTTGGTCCTGGACGAGCGAGGCTGCCAGGAAGGTTGCTCCGCTTTCGGGCAGTCTACACAGGCGAGTGTGTTATCGTAGCAGCGAGTTCCTTTGCTTGTGTGAGGGCTCCGTTCTGGGTCTTCATCGTGATAGTTATGTGGGTAAATGTACGTGTACAACCGGGGATGCGATGTTGTGTGAATCCCTCCAGGAATCAGACGCCACTCAACTTCGCTCATTTAGGTCGTCGCTTCCTAGGCCCTGGCTTCCTCTCGGCCGCCAGATATTCTCGATTCGAGGAAATGCACCTGGGAATTTGATGGTGCGTGAATCCATCCAGAGATTAAACTCCGAATACAAACCTCGCTCACATGCAGGTTGTTGTAACGTTTAGGCACTTCTGGCCAGCTGTGAGGATGGATGGCGTTCCTCGCGTTCCCTCCTCAAAAAGTACAACCTTTGTGCCCCAAAAGTGAAAACTTAAATATTTATAAGTTTTTGGATCATTGCTCCCGTTCTCTCGTCTCGGTACTCACCTGCACACCTCCTACCTATCTTACGCGCATGGCATCAGGAAATGGTTGTCGGCCGCGAGGACGGGGTGTTCTTCTTTTCCTCGGAGGATAGGGGCGGCGCCGCGGGCTTCGAAGGCAAGAAGCAGCACGTTGGCTGCTTGTGGAACTACATCTTGGTAAGCGAGAAGAGAGCGAAAACGACGATGTGCGTTAAATTTTGCGGCCAGAAAGTCGGACCCTTGTAGTAAGTGCATTCTAAAGCGCGGTTCTTGGGGATTGGAGTCGAGGAACCAGTGCACTGACTGCCGCTTGTGGTGCTGAATCTTGGTGAGGAAGGAGCCCGACAGAATGTCAAAAACGTTGAATGTATCCAGAAAAATAGCGACTTTGTCAATCAACTAAGAGTTGGTTTTGTTTTGTCGCGTCTAACTAAGTAGCTTCATCGGCGCTTTGTTTCCAGCACGCCTTGCTCTTGTTTCCCCGCAGCTGAGTAAGGGTCATTCAACGTTCGCTTGTTGTTTCGACTTTTGACGTGATCAATTTGATTGGGGATTCAAAATTATTAACAAACCAAACGATTTTTATGCGATAGCGTCTTCCTCAGAATCGAAAAATCGACACGAAGATCTCTGACATGGCTCTTGTGGTGCCCTTGTTGCTTTGGCGGCAGGTGGTCAGCGAAGACGGTCGATCGGGAAGGCACACGATCAACATGTACGACATGAGAAATAAACTCGTGGCGTTTCACGCCTTGCTTCCCCAGGGACAGGCCGTCAAGCGCATATCCTGCCAGGTGACACACGCCAACACCGCAGATCGAAGCCGACATCATCTACGGAGGACTGTTGTTTCGAAAATGTAGCGTCAAGTGTTTTGACTAGTACGAGCAGAAGAAGATACTGGGTAGAGAGAACGGAACGGTTTTTAATGTGAAGAAAACAACAACAACAACAACAACAACAACATACAATCAAGGGGAGACTACCCGTTCGAGATGTAACATCATTCGGAGCTGTATTTTTGTACCGAGAAGTGTGAGGTTTAACGCAGCGAATGTGATGTTTTGGAGAGGGAGGAGGATAAGGATGAGTCCGCGGCACAAACCGAACGACACAATGAAACACAACGGACCAACATTTCTCGCGTCTTCCCTCTCCCACATCGCTCAAAGTTGGACGCGACTGGCTCTCTCGGAAGTATTGTAGGGACCAGTGAGCAGCTTGTGCTCTCGCCTTCTTCTCTGAGGCGGACAGTCCATGGTCCAATTTTTGAGGGAAGAAACACCCCCCCTCTCCCCTCCTGCTTTGCCGGCTCCCCTCGGTGAAAATGGAAACCCGACGTGCTCCCTCCCCGGTTTGTCGGAATGTACAAGTTCTTCAACCAGGAGACTACAGCAGTGTACAAAAATTTACGATTATCCCCCCCGAACACCCTAGCAGGATGCAGCATACCCTCCCTTCGACTCGCCAAATACCTCACGGCGCTTCGCGCTTGGTGATGTGAGAGCCTGGTCCGGTGAGCACCAGGCGTGCTTCGTCCCGGCTTTGTGTGGATACGAGGTCAATGGTCTAACGACTACCGCATGCACGACTATGAGTACCCCCGCCCCCNCGTCCCCCCTTCCCCTACACACGCGCACGCCTCCTCAGGGTGAGCGATACGACCCGAACGCCGGGACCAATCTCGGGAACGGTGCCGGCAACGTAGTAGCCGGCAACGGCAGCGTCGGTGGATCCGGGGAAGGCTTGGCCTTCATCCTCACCAACAGGAACTCGCTGCTCAGGCTTCGAGAGAGAGACACGTCTTCCAAGCTCGAGCTCCTTTTCAGGAAGAACCTCTACCCGATGGCCATCTCGCTGGCGTACGCCAGCGACCACGACGTGTCGGAGATCCTGGGGATCTATCGTGAGTTTTGGTTGGATTAAGGGTGGAAGACTCGGGCGTTGTTTGCCACATTAGTGGTTGCGTTTCAATGTTTGCTCCCGGACAACACCCTATCCTTTGCATTGGACGGTGACGGTGCCCCTTTTGTCTCCTACGGGTGTTGCTGTGCTTGTTGTTGTCGTTGGTGATGGTACAATGAAAACCGTGCTGGATGCAAGGAAGAAACGAGATGCCTCACATATGTTGGTGGGGGCGATCCTTACACCCAATCTTTGCACTCGCAACCCAGGGTCAAGCGTCGATACTCTCAATACAATACACTCCTTCGTAGAACATGGGCGTGACCCCATACATAGAGCTTATACATTGCCAGGAATGCACGCGGAATACATATGAAACCCCGACCCAAGCCCACTGAAGTATCTGTGGATACCGTCTCCTCTGCAAGAATATACAACGGGACCGTCTCACCCGGTGGGACACCTAACCCCGAACTCTCGACCTTAGGCATGCACGGGGATCACCTCTACAAGAAGGGAGACTTCGAGGGTGCGATGCAGCAGTATCAGTGCACGATCGGGCAGCTAGACCCCAGCTACGTCATCCGCCGCTTCCTCGACGCACAGAGGATAGGGCTGCTCACGTCTTACCTCGAGGCGCTTCACGACGCTGGCCAGGCGTCGTCGGAGCACACCACCCTGCTCCTCAACTGCCACACCAAGCTCAAGGTGCTGGTGAAGGGATGATGAGTGGGTGGTCCTTTTCTACCTCTACCCCTTGCTGTCGACTTTTTGTCCATCTATGCGGCAGGTGCCGCTTGTTGAACGGAAATGTCTTGGGTGAAAGAGGACGTGTTTCGGCTATTTCGTTGTGAGGTTCGCACCCGTTTTGCGCTTTCATCGCTCATCGTAACACCCTTCCCCCACCCCCCTCTGCGTCACCCCTCCCCCCCCAGGATGTCGAAAAATTGGACCGTTTCATACACCCTTCTGGCGATACAATGACGCCACAGCAACAACAGCAACAACAACAAGCCCGCGACTCGACCAGCGCCGCCGCAAGCACCGCCTTATCGCATCGGCTGGGCGGGGATGGCGGGAGTGGTGGTGCCGCCGGCGCCAACTTCGATGTGGTGACGGCTATTCGGGTGTTGAAATCGGCGGGGCACGCGGACCATGCGGCGGAGTTGGCCCGAAGACATGGGGGTAAGAGAACCGTTGGAGTCTAGCCTGGTCTTCGATTGGATCGGATTAGAAAGGGTGTTGAGTGTGAGTGTATTCACGATGGTTTTCTTATTTGGCCACACGAAAGCGGTCTTATATGCTAGCGAGGAAAACCGTGTCTCTCCTCCTAGTTCGTCGTAAAAATCGTCGCTTCACTCTCTTTTTCCGTATACGCTAGTAATGTGTGCGATCGTGTGTTAACAGCTACCACATCTCCCCGAGTATACCTGCGCACGGTGACGCATCTTGGCCCGTATCGACAGATAACGTTCGGTTTCCCAGTGACCAAGATGGCGTGTGATTAGCGTGGTCGGAGCTCGCGCGAGACCTTCAATCCGTGCTTCTTTGCCTAACCGTTACCCCACCTTGCTTGCCCTATCCCACTGCTGGCAATAGAACACGACTGGTTCCTCCGCATCCAGCTCGAGCGCTCGCAGCCGGACTTCTCCGGGGCCCTGTCGTACATCGCATCCCTAGCTTTCAGCGAGGTGAATCCGCGCGACAGAAAACTGTTTCGAATTGGTGCCCGTATGCTATTTCTACTACTTTGTTTCAGGGAGGCCAGGATGTCCACCAGTTATCGGTCCGTTTTGGTGCTGGTGGTTAGTTTGGAGATGCGGACATAATTGAATGCGTGCTGTATGCCGACCGTACTTGTACTACCCGTGCTTTAGTTTCGTTTTTTTGCCGTTTCTCTGTCATTTTGTTTTTAGCAAGGGGTTATCGGTGCTTTGGCGATTGTTAGTCTACTCTGGCGAGGGCAACAGGGAACAAGTCACCAATACTTTTCACGTCCGAGAATGGAGTAGACAACGTGGCCTAACTAATGCGCTATGGGCGGGAAGGCATGTGTGCTTTGCAATATCGGTTGGACGCTGAGCGGGGGACGGTAAGCTGCGGCGTGACGGCAGTTAATGATCTCCACCAAAATATGGTACACAATGAAGTTGCAATAACGGAAGTACAGTCCGAAACACGATGCAGCAAGTACAACTTAGGACAACGAGACTGCGATGAAGTTTGAATGCTGAATGCAGGCATCCGAGCAGCTACGACGACGAGGCGAGCCGTCACCACGTGAGTGCAATACACAAAAGAGAACATCGCGCAATGCACCATATGGTACAAATTTAAGGACCATGAAACGGCGACGCATGTGACCTGACTGAATATGCAGGCTTCCGAGCAACTGCGGCGACGAGGGAAGCCGCTGGTGGCGGCACTGCCCGAGGATACGACCGGTGTTCTGATGGCCCTCTGCACTGGAAGGTACATATTGCAACGCACACGGTCATTGTTACAGGTGGTGTCACAGCAGTGCTTTTTGTCGAGGACCGTTGTTCTCATGGCCCTCTGCACTGGAAGGTACATATTGCAGCTCACCACAGTCTTGATACAGGCCGTGTGACAGCAGTGCTTGGGCTGGTTGGTTCCCAAGGTGAGAGTATGAGAGTGTTGGTGACGGTCGCATGTCATGGACCGTAACATCTTCCCCCGATCGCTGCGCTGCTGGGTAATCGTGATGCTTGCCAGGAAACACGTCGTCCTTTCCCCACCCGCCGGCCCTTTTTTTCTTAGTGCTCTGGTGTAGAATGCTTCACTCTCAATAAAACGCGTGTTTGACCCTGGTTTGGAAACGAAAACACAGGTACTCCAGCATGCCCGACCCAGCGACAGCCGCCGCGGGGGGCGGCGGCGGCGGCGGCGGCAACCCCAACAGCAAGGACAAGGCCTCCTCGACCGCGGCGAAGGCGGCGGCGGAGGACTTCGTGCACCTCTACGTGGACGAGCCTCGCTGGCTCCGCATCTTCCTCACGTACGTCTTGAGGGAAGGCGGCCGGGCGGGGCCCACGGTCGCCGACACTCTGCTCGAGCTGCTGCTGAGAGAGTGGGCGGCGGCCGGCGGCGGACAGCGAGGAGGGTCTAGCGGTGGCGGCGGCGGCTTGGCGGTTAAGAAGCAACGGGAGGACGAGGTGATGGCGTTGTTGGACAACCCTCGCGCCGGGTACGACGCGGACCACGCCCTGGTGCTGGTGCAGATGCTCAACTTTAAGCCCGGGCAGCTGTACCTTTACGAAAAGGTGAGAGAGGGCTTCATCTGTAGGGGGGCTGGGGTTGGGGGTGTAACAGGGTGCTCGTCGGCGTTTTGGTGTATTCGCGGCGGCGGTGACACTGGGTGGAAGCACTGTCTCGTCACTGGTGCCGTCGTCGTCGTCGTCGTCTGGCATGCTGTTGTGGTTTCCGTTCGCGGCTTTGCCTACGTTTTGGACGCTTGGCAGCTCTACACACGGGCGGTGGCACTGTGTTGCGTTTCGACGGGAGTATCACAGAGAGACTCTGCATGTGAAGCAAGAAGTGGAACCTGGAAATCTTGATCTGGTTGACTAATGCCTTGCCGAGGCAGGGGGCCGGGATGTCCCCTGTCCCCTGCTGAAGTTAGAGTCCCACGAACGGAAATCCGCTGCAGGACAAGATTAGGATACAACCCGAGAACGACCTTGTCAGACCAGCCCGCAATGTGTGCACCCTTCTCCAGCCATCCCCTAACGCCGTCTTGCGTTTCGACCTACGCGTCCCGTTGGGTGCCGTCGTTGTGTCGCTGTCACGCCCTGCCAGTTGTACATGACGGAGCTCGTGTTGGAGCATTACTTGGACACGGGGGACACACGGTGAGTCCTTCCTCCTCACGGCGTGTCTTGCGATTTCGTTCCCTGCCGCCACATGTGCATGGCACTGCTGCGCTGCTGTAGCACTTGACCATGCGACAGCAGTCCTGTTTTTGTGGCGATTGTTTGGAGGTGCTTGCACTCCACTTGTTCTACGACAGGAGCATCGCGCGACAAATGCAATTTCGTTCTGCGCGACTTGTCTTTAATTTTCGGGAAACGACACAGCAGGGTATACCCTGGTCGAAAAGCGACCCAGCTGGTTACATACTACAGCAGCGTGAGACGAACCCGGATGATTTGTCAACGCCCACTTTCGCCCCGCCGTGTCCTAAAAGGCGCCGCGTATACCCTGCCGTGGCAACTGTTCTCCGGAGGATGTATGCCCTGATTTGGGAAATGTACCCTGACCTGACGGGAACTGAGACCCTTGTGTTCGACGATTTCCTCGGCAGGAATCCTTTCCCAATCCTTTTCCCCTCCAAGCATGGGATTCCAAACAGCGACTCTTCCCGCCCAAGAACAGCCATGGCAACCGAGCAGAAATCAATCTGGACGGAGTTTCCGCCCCCTGCGAAACAGCACCAACCATCAACTCTTCCCGCCCTAAACAAACGATGGCTGGGCAAATGCCAGCACAACTCCGTTTGGAAAGCGTACGTACGTAGTACAAGGTTCCCTGCGGGAGTTAGGTGATTTGCCTCCCGGGGACGACGCGAGGGGACATCGCCAATCAATGCCATCGCGGTCGCATGGTCGGTCGTCATATTGTAACGTTCGGTGGTGCCGGCTTGCGTGCAGCATGCATACATACTACAAGTAATTTGTCTGGAATTTGCATCATGCGCGGGGTATTTGGTTTTCTCCCGCCATGACTTGTCGCTTGTGCGCGAGTGTGTGCTCTTCGGCTAGCTGCGTCTTTGCTGCAGGTTCTGCTGCTGTAATCCGCGGCGTTAAACCACTCACTCTTATTGTGTGATCGTGTTTCCCATGGTCTGTGGGACTTTTTCACGCGAACACCAACAACGGATCAAAGTGACGCTCAACGTGCCCAAGAACAGTCACAGACGTAGACTGCTACAGTAGTACCATAACTTCTAGTCTATGGTTTGAAGTTTTCGATATTTCGGAATTTCAATTCAATGACCGCTGCCAGAGTTGTGGGAGAGGACTCCTGCGTCGCAGGGTGTGTTCCCATGAACAACATCAAAAGTCTTGGGTCCCCGCTGCGGGTACGCATGCGTGCGCCAGTTGCTGTGCGGTGGGTGTGTACACAACAATCACAGCAGCTGTGTGGGCGTGTGGGCGCGTGGCGCGTGGTGCGGGGCAAGAAAACAACTTTGTTGTCAATTTTTATCCCGTTCGAGGAGGCTTTTATGGTTCGGATTCCCAACCCCTGAAAAAAGAGCCAGCCCCAGCGACTTTAAGCGGCCCTAACACGCACCACCGTTGTCTTGCGAGCCCCTTACGCAACGGATAATGTAAGGACGGTTCGTCTGCGTGCCATCCAGAAGAGAGTGCGAGATAAAACGCTGTCCCAGCAGAGAAAAACGAACACGAGCACCAATAGAGTCGAAATGTTACATATGCATATGTAGACTGTGAGGTAGACAAATGCAAGATACGGGTCGCGCGTAGAACGCTTGACCGATCGAGCATTGTGGAGATGCATGCATTTGCCGATGTGTGGTGGTATGGTGGCGGCGAGCTCGTGGCCGCAAACAGGCGAGGAAGGAATAGCACACACACACATGGAGTCTTCTCCTCACTCCAGAAGTTGGACACTGCCGTGTCGTCCGACTCCTGCACCCTACCTGTTGGTAGCGGGAGTGTTTGCGTTTGTTTTTCGTCCCTCTGAGGCCTGACGTCTTTTACATTGGTCGGCTCATAAGCGCGATCGACGCTAGTTCAAGCGAGACACACACCACATGACACACAAAAAGAACAGGACACACTCGCGGGGTCCCAGATCATTCTTTAGGAGGATTTTATGTTTTCGACCGCACTGAGACTGACGTCTACTCATTATTCAACGGTTAGCGCGGTCGGTGCTAATAACTAATACACACCACAATTGCACGCACACACACGCCGTCATAACGAATCACCAAGAAGGAGTCAGTGGCGGCGGAGGAGCTTCGGTTGAAGGGGCGACTCACAAAGTTACCCCGTGTACTGTTCTCATCCTACACCAAGCAAACACATCAAACATCACAAAATGGACTATGCAAATGTGTACGTACGTAACACCCCGCTCGTTTCTGAACCGAAATGTGCTGGCATTTGCCCAGCCATCGTTTGTTTAGGGCGGGAAGAGTTGATGGTCGGTGTTGTTCCGCAGGGGGCGGAAACTCCGTCCTGATTGACATCTGCCCGGTTGCCATGGTTGTTCTTGGACGGGAAGTATCGCTGTTTGGTGTCCCTTGGTGGGAGGGGAATTGGATTGGGACAGGATTCCTGCCGAGGAAACCGTCGATAAAAGGGTCTCACTTCTCGTCAGGTCAGGGTGCATTTCCGAAATCAGGGCATACATCTTCCGGAGAACAGTAGCCACGGCAGGGTATACGCGGCGCTTTTTGGACGTGGCGGGTCGAATGTGGGCGTTGACCAATCACGTGGGTTCATTTCACGATGCTGAAATATGTACCCAGCTGAGTCGCTTTTCGACCGGGGTATATACCCTGCTGTGTCGTTCCCCCATATTTTGTTTGTTGCCGTGTTCGGTGTGTGAGGCCACCCTTGTTTTGTGGGTGTGAACGACAAAATGGCGGCATGTTCGTTGAAGATGGATAGGCTGGTGGGGCACAGTCCTTGTGCTTGCTTTCGATAAGAGTTTTATCGCGGTGGCCCAGAGCACGGGCGGGGGCACGTTGGCACAGCAGTGGTTGCTTCTTGGTGATCACGAAGAAGAGTTTCAAGGCACGTAGGCTGTAGTTTGGCACGCACTGTCTGTTTTGTTGTGTCCTCATCTGCGCACAATAGCACACGGCGTATTCACGTGTTGCTGTATGAAGTCATCCATCTGCATCTTGCGTCGTCGAATGACGCCGAGGAAGACAATACTCAATTGACACACGTACATGGATCGATATAACCTGAAGAACATAGCTACTGCTTCGAAATACATACGAATAAAAAGGTACGGAGTTGGCTTCTCCCCCCCCCGCTGTTTCGCTCACCCCGGGCTGCCTCACTCACACCTATCGGCGGCAGGAACATGGTTCGCGTGTGCCGGAAAGAGGGGAACAACAACCCGGATCTCTGGGTACAGGTCCTGAGCTACCTCGTCAACAACGTTCCCTCGTCCGGGGACATCCAGGAATCATCCCCGCTCCCGGACAACGCCGGCGATGGAAACCCCGCCGGTGGCAAAAGCGAGGACGGCGGCGGCGGGGACGTGAGCTCGGACGACGGGGAGGGGGCCGGCGGAGAGGAAGGGAGGTGGGACGATGTTCGCGAGCTGTTGGCGTTGATCGAGCGGGATCAAGTGCTGTCTCCGTTGCAGGTGAATATCTGTTTTTTCGTGAGGTTTGGGGGGACCTTGCTTTTTTTCCGGGGGCAGCAGGGGAAGGAAAAAGGACCTGTTTCCTTGTTCGCTCTTGGTCGTGCTGGGGTTAATGTCTAGGCGCGGTACGATGTGGTAAACATTTCCGGGGAGAAGGCGCAAGAATCGATTTGTTTTGCTGATCGCAGGAAGGATCGATCAGAGACAACCCAGCAACACAATTCAGTATGTAGCCGGCTTGATTTTCGTGGGCTGCGTTTCCGTCGTCGTTGCCAATACTATTTTTCGGTAGATTGGGTAGTTGATTTAACCACGCCTTGGGGCCGTGTCCGTTATGCTCAGCCATTGCATTCCGTCTTAGTCCCCAAAATGCACTGTTCTAGCCATTCCGTCCCATGTCCCTGACTGTACTGTTCCATATTTCGTCGCAAACAATAGTAAGTGTTGAGCACATCCCGCGTGTGCATGTACGGTATCACCGTCTCTCGCCGTGGCGTTACATGTTGCCGATAGGTGGTGAGCATCCTGGCTCAAAACTCGCAGCTCCCTCTGTGGGTGACGCGAGACTTCCTGCCTCGTTTCCTGTCGACGTCGGCTGCTGACGCCGCTGCTGACGCCGCTGCTGCCTCGGAGCTGAGAGAGAGCACGAACAAGATGAGGGCGGAGATTCAGGGCCTTCGGTACGTATCTTGTTGTTGTTGTTGTTGTTGTTGTTGTTGAATTTTGCTCTTTTTTGCTGCTGCCGGTATTTTGCGGTGCTGGTGGCGACGGGGATGTAATGATGGTGGTGTGACCACGTCGACTTTCGTGTATATGACGGTGCCCCCGCCCCTTCCCCATTCTCTGCTGTCCTTTGGTGGCAGAGCAACGGTGCAGTCGTCTTCATTGTCAGGCTCTAGGGTCGCCATGGAACTGCCCACCTTCATGGCTTCGGAGCTGGAGAAAGGCGGTTCGAAGGTGATGTGCACTACTTCAGCGGCTTGCAGCTCTCTCGCCCTCCCTTTTGTTTTGATCTTGAAGGTCTTGGATTTTTTTTTTTTTCTGTGGGTGTTGCCCAAGATGAGGCTTCGGACAGTTCTTCCCTCGACAACCGTTGCAGAGAAAGGAGGAATGAATGTGAACCCTAGATTCCGGGGGGAAACCATTCAAGGGTAACGGTCAGGGATAGCTTTCCGACGCAAGCCCGTTTGATACGCGTCAGCTCTTGAAACCAACATCCCGGGGTGGTGCTTTCACACCATCGAGCCGTGCACGTGTTGTTCTGTGCAGGGAAGGGTGCGCCTTTTCACCCACGCAAGACTGTTCCTGCCCCCACCCCCCCCTTTTGGGCGGAATTTTTCAGGGATTTTCACGGTGTGGAACCGCACCGCGGTGTGTTTTTTGTTTTTTGACACGATACAATGCGGTGCGGTGCGGCGCGGTGCGTGTTTGTTCAACTAGAATTTGACACCGCACCGCACCGAACCGTCGAAAAAAAACGTACCGTGAACATCCCTAGAATTTTCCCTCGCTCGGCGCCAGCGGTATGCATGCTTGAGAATATATCTGTGGAAACACAGGAAGGTAATTCCACTCCGAGTTTGTTCCAACTCGACCCACGTATGTACCGAATGGATACCCCCATTCCCCCCCCCCCGCCTCACGCCCT